CCCACACACACACACACACACACACCTTGGCCCCTATAGCTGCCAGGTGATAATACAAATAAAAATGCATAATAGTTTAAGTTGGGTCTTTTCTTTGATGGAATAACCAAAGTATTCTTAGAAAAGTATCCACACATGCGCAGAATACCTATACTTGTCATTTTCTTTAACTTGGTTGTGGAACCTAAATGTTCTGCTTTTCTTGGTTGTGGAACCTATAGGTTCTGCTTTTCTGTTTGGTTGATTTCTTAATATACAGTTTCAGCGCTCTTTCAAACTTTTGCACTGAAATCTTGCAAAAAGAAACCTTATACTGTATTTATATCAAGTGCTTGCTTTCACTTTATACTCAAAACAATGAAAAATTACAACGACTTTCTTTTGTTAAATTGCTAGATAGGAAGTCAGATGCATGCAACAAGTATTTTTAGCACAGGTTTAGGGTAGATTTAACACTTCCTTGGTTGTTTCCTGTTACTATAGCCAATGCAAAGTGTGTCTACTCTGTGGTCCCTTGGAGTTTGAAAGCACAAATCGTAGTGCACAACATCACCAGTGCTGAAGTGAGAACAGCTCTATTCACTAAAATCGGCTAATGTCAAAATATACTTACCTGAGCAAAAAAAACAAAGAATGAACTAGGGATTCACCGATACTACTATCGGTATCATTGCCGATACAGAGTATTTGGGCCAGTACTCATACTCGGCCAAATGCTCCGATACCGGAATTTCTTCGTCTGACTGGCAATGCCGAGGGAGCATGGAGCCGGCTTCCTTTTCAATCAGGAAGTCGGGCGGTGGGTTATGACCCACTTCCTGGCTTCCTGATTGGTGCCGTGGAAGCATGGAGCCAGCTTCCTTGCCAATCAGGAAGCTGGGTGACACATAATGACCCGGCTTCCTGATAGGTCAACAATCAACAAGTGAAGCCGGCTTCCTAGCCAATCGGGAAGCCGGTCATGACGTGCCGCCCGGCTTCCTGATTGGCTAGAAAGCCGACTTCACTTTTTCCTAGGAAGCTGGACCGCACCTCATGACCCGCCGCCCGGCTTCCTGATTGGTCATGACGTGCCGCCCGGCTTCCTGATTGGCTAGGCAGCCGACTTCACTTGTTGCTAGGAAGCTGGAGCGCACCTCATGACCCGCCACCCGGCTTCCTGATTGGTCAGGAAGCCAAGCAGCCTCGGCAAGTGAAGCCGGTGTTTTTTTTTTGATAGAACACAGGCAATCAAAGCCAGGTGGCGGGTCATGATCTGCCGCCCACCTTCTTGGTAATCGAGGCAAAGGGCACCGGTATCAGCGAGTACGGAATCAAAATATTGGTACCTAGCATGAACAAAATCATAAATATTTGTCTGTTCTGACAGTCTCCTGACACATTTACTTCACCTATAATTATTAAACGTTTCCATTAGTGTTCTACTTACAAAAGTAATCTGCGTATATTCAAGTCACTTGTGAATTCTAACAGTATCGCTTAAGGCGGACCTTCCCCCGCCGCTCTCCCTCTTTCTAATATGAAACTGCCATTATTGAAATTAGTATAGTAAAATAGAAAAATACTATCACTTGTCTAATTTCTTTGAATATTTCCCATATCCTAATGCTACGATCCACCCCTGCATGGAAAGCCACGCCACCTTTTGAAGATTAGACGTCACTCGTGGCCAGCTGCTCCTTCCACTGCTTCTGTGCCTACCCCATGATGGTGTAAGAGCCAGATTTTGATCAGATCTTTGGGAAAAGAAAAGCCCTTTCCCCCTCAAGATGTTGCAGTTTACACGCAAGATCTTCCCAAAGGCACTGGTAGCTTTTCCAGGGGCCAGCTTGAAAGCACTGGCTATGTCACCAGTGCCTCTGAAAACAAGAACAGTTTGCATGCACCTCTAAAAACGCATTGCATTGAAGTAACTGATAATGAATTGTTTAGTTATATGATTGTTGTGTGGTTTGTGTTGCTAGTAGAAGGACACAATATATTTTTTTTCCAGTGCTGTAGTTGCAAGGCTATGTATAGAATATTGTTTGGTAAAATTAACTACTCAGGGTTACTTTCATGCACGCTTTGCCCTGCAGTTTCCACCTATGCGCAAGCCTTCACTGATTTCCCATCTTTTCATGTCATCCTCTAATCATCCTTCTTGTGAGTTTGTTTAGTTGTCTTGTGTGCTTTCCCTGGCTGTAATAAATCTTGTTTTCTAGATATACGTCAGAGCACAATTTGAATATGATCCTGCAAAGGACGACCTCATACCCTGTAAAGAAGCTGGTATCAGATTTAGGGTTGGAGATATTATCCAGATTATTAGTAAAGATGATCACAACTGGTGGCAAGGCAAATTGGAAAATGCCAAAAATGGTACGGCTGGTCTCATTCCATCTCCTGAGCTTCAAGAATGGTAAGTGGTCAGGAACAATGTGAATATATTTGCAGTATTTGTAGTTGAACAACTTTATGAAATGTAGTGACACTTTTAATATAGATTACTTAATTGATAAAAGGCATCTTCCTAGTCAGAAAATCAGTTCCTGGTTCAGTTTGGTCTGCAATTCGGCATTCAAACCAGAAAGATCTGATTCTTCCTCACTAACATGTAGTGGCTGTTTAGTTTTTCACGCAATAACCCAGTCTTGAAACCCAGGCTGACTGACCATATCTGCTGTAAAATCACAAAAGACTAGAAGCATTAACGAAACACTGGTGCTCCCTAGTGTACAAAAAGGGGACTGATCTCAGTGGCCTAAAACAGACAACTATGAAACTAAGCATTTACTTACCGCCACCCGGCTTCCTGATTGGTCAGGAAGCCAAGCAGCCTCGGCAAGTGAAGCCGGTGTTTTTTTTTTCGATAGAACACTGGCTTCCCAGGCAATCAAAGCCAGGTGGCGGGTCATGATCTGCCGCCCACCTTCTTGGTAATCGAGGCAAAGGGCACCGGTATCAGCGAGTACGGAATCAAAATATTGGTACCTAGCATGAACAAAATCATAAATATTTGTCTGTTCTGACAGTCTCCTGACACATTTACTTCACCTATAATTATTAAACGTTTCCATTAGTGTTCTACTTACAAAAGTAATCTGCGTATATTCAAGTCACTTGTGAATTCTAACAGTATCGCTTAAGGCGGACCTTCCCCCGCCGCTCTCCCTCTTTCTAATATGAAACTGCCATTATTGAAATTAGTATAGTAAAATAGAAAAATACTATCACTTGTCTAATTTCTTTGAATATTTCCCATATCCTAATGCTACGATCCACCCCTGCATGGAAAGCCACGCCACCTTTTGAAGATTAGACGTCACTCGTGGCCAGCTGCTCCTTCCACTGCTTCTGTGCCTACCCCATGATGGTGTAAGAGCCAGATTTTGAGCAGATCTTTGGGAAAAGAAAAGCCCTTTCCCCCTCAAGATGTTGCAGTTTACACGCAAGATCTTCCCAAAGGCACTGGTAGCTTTTCCAGGGGCCAGCTTGAAAGCACTGGCTATGTCACCAGTGCCTCTGAAAACAAGAACAGTTTGCATGCACCTCTAAAAACGCATTGCATTGAAGTAACTGATAATGAATTGTTTAGTTATATGATTGTTGTGTGGTTTGTGTTGCTAGTAGAAGGACACAATATATTTTTTTTCCAGTGCTGTAGTTGCAAGGCTATGTATAGAATATTGTTTGGTAAAATTAACTACTCAGGGTTACTTTCATGCACGCTTTGCCCTGCAGTTTCCACCTATGCGCAAGCCTTCACTGATTTCCCATCTTTTCATGTCATCCTCTAATCATCCTTCTTGTGAGTTTGTTTAGTTGTCTTGTGTGCTTTCCCTGGCTGTAATAAATCTTGTTTTCTAGATATACGTCAGAGCACAATTTGAATATGATCCTGCAAAGGACGACCTCATACCCTGTAAAGAAGCTGGTATCAGATTTAGGGTTGGAGATATTATCCAGATTATTAGTAAAGATGATCACAACTGGTGGCAAGGCAAATTGGAAAATGCCAAAAATGGTACGGCTGGTCTCATTCCATCTCCTGAGCTTCAAGAATGGTAAGTGGTCAGGAACAATGTGAATATATTTGCAGTATTTGTAGTTGAACAACTTTATGAAATGTAGTGACACTTTTAATATAGATTACTTAATTGATAAAAGGCATCTTCCTAGTCAGAAAATCAGTTCCTGGTTCAGTTTGGTCTGCAATTCGGCATTCAAACCAGAAAGATCTGATTCTTCCTCACTAACATGTAGTGGCTGTTTAGTTTTTCACGCAATAACCCAGTCTTGAAACCCAGGCTGACTGACCATATCTGCTGTAAAATCACAAAAGACTAGAAGCATTAACGAAACACTGGTGCTCCCTAGTGTACAAAAAGGGGACTGATCTCAGTGGCCTAAAACAGACAACTATGAAACTAAGCATTTACTTTGAATATTATGTCACACTAAATTTTAAGCAGCATCCCAGGACTGGTTAACATGCTATCCTTCATTCTCCTGTGAGGCTTTCTAAAGCGGCTTCCACACCAGACTCAGGCAATCAATTGACAGTGTGACTTATGTGGGGTGAGTGAAGTACACTCACCCCCATAGTTAAAGCGTACGTGCAACACTGAATCTGTCACACGTAAGCTCTATTGATCGGGAAGTGAGCGAAAACATTTCGCCACTCGCTCACTACCCGATCATCTCCCTGCAGTATTGTCGGGATAAGTCCCGGCTGTGGCGCTCTTAGCATGGGTCACCGGAGGACGTTAGTATATATCCTCCCGTGACCCTAAAGAGAACTATAGGGGGAAAAAAGGTTAACCAATTCTCCTTTTAAAGCTTGTACACAGCCTAACGGCTGAAGCAAGGAAATTCACTTACGTGTTTTATAGTTACCACTCTGTAAAGTGGACCTCAAGGGGTATGGCCTGCTGCTCATGCAGGGTTAAGGCTCCCAATTCAAGATCCTACATCGGTCCTACTAAGCCTGGGTTCTGTCTCCCCGATGGCTCCACTTCTTTTCCTCAGCCGGCTGTAGTCTCTGGAATGTCTTTTTGATGGTTTATTCCTACTATCAGATTCCATGACAGAAGAATGACAACACAGGCACCCTGAGGGACTGCAGGCCAAGATGTCAACGACTCGCAGCATGCAGTTCCATACAACATCAAACCACAGAGAGATCAAGCTAGAGATGCTGCTGCAAAGCTCCAATGTGGACCTTGCAGCCCCCTTCCACTGCATGCAAAACACTTGGTGAAAGCAGAAAAAATAATAAAACATTGGAAGAAAAATTAAATAAATACCCACACCCTGGCTTCCAGGATGCTAGCCTGGGCAAGGGTGATGGCACTGGGCCTTCTCACAGGGATCCTATGAAAAGCTGAGAATCCTAAATCCCAAGGAAATGTGCTCCTATACAGGGCTAGAACATCTAAAAAGATTTGTGATCCACAGCTTTTCTAGAATCCCATGGTGAAGCCCAATGACGTAATCAGCAGCATTCTCCTGTGGGCAGAGGAACACCCAGCTTTAACAAGGAGAGGACATCTTTGTTTTGCTTCACTTACATTGGCTCATTTGCTTTGCTGCCTAAAATAAGTGTGTTAAATTAGGTTTTAAATCCCAAATGATTGTAAGTGGTAAACTTTGGGCTTTATTACCATATTTCACATTTGTTATATGCATCCATCTGATTTTAACTATATTTATACTTATTCTGCTATAATTGCGTGTACATTTCCTGCATCTCCTGGGAAACTGAAAAACCTAATCTTAAGATAGAAAATATACTGTTGTCCTTTGTAAACACCAAGGTAATAGCATTCTTTCAATTTGCATTTAAAGTGTACTTGTTCATAGTTTCTGAGCAAACATCTCTGATCTCTGTTTTAGGTTAGACTTTACAACACTTAAACTGATAATGGAATGACTATAAATTGTTATATTGATATTCAGATGCTGCAGCTAGGTTATACTGAAGAGCAAATGCTATTCCACTTCTTTATATTGATATGTATTTGCTAGGCGGTAACAACATTCTGTGTTTAGATATGATCCATATTTACATTAGATTTAAGCTGAGCTCCAGACAGATATGAGACGCATATTAATGCAGCTCTGTGTTCATTAAAACATAATGAAATGTATTTTTAAATGCTTCTAGTGTATGTACTTGGATTTGACCTGGTATGCAATCCCCTATACAGCAGCACTTTTTCTTGTTTTAGGCGTGTTGCTTGCATTGCAATGGAAAAAACAAAGCAGGAGCAACAAGCTAGTTGTACTTGGTTTGGGAAGAAAAAGAAGCAGTACAAAGATAAATATTTGGCAAAGCACAATGCAGGTACGCATGGCTAAAAAAAATTATCTATTATTTAATGATAATTATTTCATTTTATTTAATGATGAATGCCAGGTGATTTTTTTTTTTTTGTTAACACAGAAATCTTACACATTTCCTCCAACTTTAACTTTTTTGACTAATTGTTCGTAAGTCTTTTTTCTTTTTTTCTATTATAGTGCTAAAAGGACTGGTTAATAAATCGATAAAGGTCGCCATTTGAATTATTAAACATGTCATGTAATCATGTGTTGCTTGTAGGGCAACATCATCTCTTGAATTCTGTAGCCAATTATTTCACATTTAAGTTGCCATAAGTCAATACTTTTCTACCGATAAAGTTTGTAACGGGGAGTAAACTTGCATATCTTTAGGTTCTGAAAGTATTTATATTTATGGTATATGGAAGGTATGTATGCATGCAGTGGCGGAACTACCGCCGGTGCTGGCTGGATAAGGCAGAAGCGGCCCTCTAAAAAGGCACTGTAGAGGACAGACCGCGGGGGCCTGCAGAGGACCCGCTAGAGGAGCGGCGGCCGGCGATTACAGAGCTGCGTCTGATGCGTGCGGGCGGGCTGAGATGGCAGAGGATGCACCATATATCGGCCGCCATAACATATTGGCCGAAAATTGCACTTTTGGCATAATGCCGAAAGTGCAATTTTTCTGCCGAAACAGCAGCACATCCCTGCTTTCTTTTCTCCCCGCTGGGCGCTGCTCTGTGTCCCAGCGGGGAGGAAAGAAAGCGGCAGCTGGCCGAGCGCTGCGGAAGGAGAGCGCTGTTTTTTTGGGGGGGGGCCAAAAAAAAATCTTGCACCAGGGCCCTTTGTTCCTTAGGTCCGCCACTGTATGTATGTGTATATATAATATATATATTATATACTGTGTGTGTATATGTGTATATATATATCTATCTATCTATAGATATATATATCTATCTATCTATAGATATATATATATACACTGAGTGGCCAGATTATTATGACCACCTGACGTTTGTAGGCAATTACATCTAGACACATTACATCTAGACACATTACATCTAGACACATTACATCTAGACACATTACATCTACCATACATCTACACACACTATATTGCCAAAAGTATTGGGATGCCTGCCTTTACATGCACATGAACTTTAATCCCAGTCTTAGTCCAAAGGATTATTGAGTTGGCCCTTTTTATTGAGTTGGCCCTTTATGGACCTTGCTTTGTGCACTGGTGCGCAGTCATGTTGGAACAGGAAGGGTCCATCCCCAAACTGTTCCCACAAATTTGGTTGCTTAAAATTGTCCAAAATGTCTTGGTATGCTGATACCTTAAGAGTTCCCTTCACTGGAAAAAAGGGGCCAAGCCCAAACCCCCTGAAAAACAACCCCACACCATATTCCCCCCCTCCACCAAACTGTACACTTGGCACGATGCAGTCAGGCAAATATCGTTCTCCTGGCAACCGCCAAACCCAGACATGTCCATCAGATTGCCAGACAGAGAAGCGTGATTCGTCACTCCAGAGAACGCTTCTCCACTTCTCTAGAGTCCAGCGGCGGCGTGCTTTACACCACTGCATCCGACGCTTTGCATTGTACTTGATGTAAGGCTTGCATTTAGCTGCTCGGCCATGGAAACCCATTCCATAAAGCTCTGTACGCACTGTTGTTGTGCCAATCTGAAGGCCACATGAAGTTTAGAGGTCTGTAGCTATTGACTCTGCAGACAGTTGGCGACTTCTGCGCACTGTGCACTTCAGCATGCGCTGACCCTGCTCTGTCATTTTGCATGGCCTGCCACTTCGTGTCTGAGTTGCTGCTCATCCCAGTTGCCTACACTTTGTTATAATACCAGTAACAGTTGACCATGTAACATTTAGTAGCAAGGAAATTTCGCGGATGGACTTGTTGCACAGGTGGCAACTTATCATGGTACCACGCTTGAATTCACTGAGCTCCACTTCAACAGCAACTCAGCCACAAAGTGGTAGGCCATGCAAAATGACAGAACGGGGTCTGAACATGCTGAAGCGCATAGGTCGCCAACTGTCTGCAAGAGTCGATAGCTACAGACCTCTAAACTTCATGTGGCCTTCAGATTGGTGCAAAAACAGTGAGAACTTCATGCAATGGGTTTCCATGGCCGAACAGCTGCATCCAAGCCTTGCATCACCAAGTGCAAAGTGACGAATCGCGCTTCTCTGGTTGGCAATCCGATGGACGTGTCTGGGTTTGGCGGCTGCAAGGAGAACAGTACTGGCCTGACTGCATTGTGCCAAATGTAAAGTTTGGTGGAGGGGGGATTATGGTGTGGGGGTTTTTTTCAGGGGTTGGGCTTGGCCCCTTAGTTCCAGTGAAGGGAACTCTTAAGGCATCAGCATACCAAGACATTTTGGACAATTTCATGCTCCCAACTTTGTGGAAACAGTTTGGGGATGGCCCCTTTCTGTTCCAGCATGACTGCGCACCAGTGCACAAAGCAAGGTCCATAAAGACATGGATGAGCAAGTCTGGGGTGGAGGAACTTGACTGGCCTGCACAGAATCCTGACCTCAACCTGATAGAACACCTTTGGGATGAATTAAAGCGGAGACTGCGAGCCAGGCCTTCTCGTCCAACATCAGTACCTGGCCTCACAAATGCGCTTCTGGAAGAATGGTCAAACATTCCCATAGACACACTCCTAAACCTTATGGACAGCCTTCCCAGAAGAGTTGAAGCTGTTATAGCAGCAAAGGGTGGGCCAACTCAATATTGAACCCTGCGGACTAAGACTGGGATGCCATTAAATTTCATGTGCGTGTAAAGGTAGGACACACACACAAAAATGTGATCATTTTGATGTGTTTTCATATGTTGTTGTGCTTGACTGCATTTACCAAGCTATTAGTTAGATATGCCTAGTTCATTTGAAAGTTCCGTATTCATTACCCAAATGATACTATTGCACTACATATTAGATGCATTCCGATGCACCCTGGGTGCTTTGAATACCAGGCTACTGTAATTGGTACGGATTGAAACTTCTGGTAATGTGCTGACTCCAGCTCAACCCACTTCCTGCGTTATCCTACTGGACAATCCCTATTCTAGGCTGTTTTCTGGCACACAGCAATATACAGGAGGAGACAGGCCCAGCATTACTTAAAAGTAAACAAAAAGTTTGTCCAGTGCTACTATTTTAATTCAACTTAATTTTTTATGTGCAGTGATTCTTGCAAATGTAAGAAATGTGCTTTTGTTACAAAATGGCTAAAACCACATCAGTCTGTGTAACCTAAAAAGAAAGTAATGAATGCATCAGTTTAAGTTTATAACTTTTACTGTTTATACCTGATGTTATTTTCGATCCTCTAAGAGCAACAATACCCAAGCAGATTCTTCAATTTTGGATGAAGTGGGGCAGGGTTCAGTCATCTGTTTGGTCTACTGCTATCCATGACTTTAGTAGGTAGATCTCCTACACCTTTTACTCAGCTGTGGCAGGCAGAGTAATGCTTTTTTTGGCCAAACTACTGTTGCCACTTGTATCAGTGAATACCTAATTTGCTTCCATGAATGATACAGTAGATGGCATAGGATGCAGAAATGATGTATCTTATACCCTCTTGTGTGCTCAAGTGTGTACCATTTAATTAGCCTTTGCAGGGTCTGAGTGCCACCTCTACTACACTGCTCAAAAATTAAAGGAACACTTTTTAATCAGAGTATAGCATCAAGTCAATGAAACTCCTGGGATATTTATCAGGTCAGTTAAGTAGCCGAGGGGATTATTAATCAGTTTCAGCTGCTTTGGTGTTAATGAAATTAACAAGTGCACTAGATGGGCAACAATGAGACAACCTCCAAAACAGGAATGGTTTTACAGGTGGAGGCCACTGACCTTTGTTTCCTTACTCTTCTTTTCTGACTGTTTTTCAATAGTTTTGCATTTGGCTAGAGTCAGTGTAACTACTGGTAGCACGAGGCGAAACCTGGACCCTATAGAGGTTGCACAGGCATGCCAACTTCTCCAGGATGGCACATCAATACGTGCCATTGCCAGAAGGTTTGCGGTGTCTCCCAGCACAGTCTCAAGAGAATGGAGGAGATTCCAGGACACAGGCAGTTACCCCAGGAGAGCTGGACAAGGCCGTAGAAGGTCCTTAACCCATCAGCCGGACCGGTATATGCTCCTTTGTGCAAGAGGAACTGAATGAGTACTGCCAGAGCCCCACAAAATGATTTCCAGTAGGCCACTGGTGTGAATGCCTCTGACCAAACAATCAGAAACAGACTTCATGAGGGTGGCCTGAGGGCCCGACGTCCTATAGTGGGCCCCGTGCTCACTGCCCGGCACTGTGGAGGTTGATTGGCATTTGCCATTGAACACTAGAATTGGCAGGTCCGCCACTGGCGCCCTGTGCTTTTCACAGATGAGAGCAGGTTCACCCTGAGCACATGTGACAGACGTGAAAGGGTCTGGAGAAGCCGGGGATAACGTTATGCTGCCTGTAACATCGTTCAGCATGATCAGTTTGGTGGTGGGTCAGTGAGGGTCTGGAGGGACACACAGGCTAGACAATGGCACCCTGATTGCCATTAGGTATTCAGATTAAATCTTTGGACCCATTGTCAGACCCTACGCTGGTGCATTGGGTCCTGGGTTCCTCCTGGTGCACGACAATGCCCAGCCTCATGAGTATGCAGTCAGTTCCTTGAGGATGAAGGAATTGATACCATTGAATGGCCCCCACGCTCGCCTGACCTGAATCCAATAGAACACCTCTGGGACATTCTGTCTCGGTCCATCCGATGCCGCCAGGTTGCACCTCAGTCTGTTAAGGAGCTCAGTGATGCCCTGGTCCAGATCTGGGAGGAGATACCCCAGAACACCATCCGTCATCTCGTTAGGAGCATGCCCCAAAGTTGTCAGGCATCCATACAACCACATGGCGGCCATACAAACTAATGAGTACCATTTTCAGTTGCTGCAATGAAGTTTCAGCACCATGGACTAGCCTGCTGCAT